TGTGCATGTAAAAAAACTTACCAAATTTTTCATATATTTCTCTTTCTTAATTTTTTTCTCACTACTTTCCAAACAATCTTTGCACCACATTAGTGATGGTTGTAAAAATTTTCACCTTTGATTTACAAACACAGGAATTTCTAAATAATTGAGTCACTTTAAATTACTTCTCAAAACTACCAACCAGTAGACTCCAACTCACAGACCCTCCATAAAATTTCCAAGGCTGTAAACATTTATGGGAAGATAGTAATCAGCTTTCTTCCACACAGCCTGGTGAATCCAAATAGCTCGCCGTTTGGTTAGCAGCCCAGTACATTATGCACTATATCACCAGACTTCCCACCATGGTGGTGTACATAAGTCACTGTGAGTCAGAGTCAGCTTGGCAACATCTAATACAAACAACTAACAAAGTACTTCTGGCCCTGCAGAATCAATTTCTACTTTTATAATGATCAAAAAATTAATAAGATGTTTTCTATAACTATAAAATTATTATTACACTATTTATAAAACATCAAGTGTTGTTCAAATTTATAACTCATAAATTGTCCCTTATTCATTTTTCTTGTTTGCCTCTCAATTAAAAGTATAACAGTCCTAATAAAATTATATCTGAAGATCTTGTTTTTGATGAGTCATGGCTTACTTGCATAAGTAATTACTGGTTTTGCATTTACTTCTGTGGAGAAAACATTCTTTATGAGAAAAGGAAAAAAAATCACAGATGGTAACAAATTGATCTTATGCCTTGCCTATTAATTGGGGTGGTTTACATTTCCACCTCATAAAATTAATTACCTAATTTAATTCTATAGCGATATATATATATATATACATTATATATATATATATATGTATATATATGTTTTGTAGCTGTTATGTACCATCAATTGAGTACAAAGTACAACTTATAGACCCTATGAACAACAAATTTGAATCCTGTCCTATGCTGCACCTTCACCATTTTTTACATACTTGAGCCCATTGTTGCAGTCACACACACACACACACACACACACACACACACACAAATATATATGTTGATAATAAAAACCATTTTGGACATAGATAAAAATAATCTTTTCACACCTTCCTTGTTCCTTATTTCTTTGCTTTCTTTAGTGTTCTATGAAAGACTATGATGGAAGACGAGGGTTTTGACTAAGGTAAATATTTTCAGCAGACTTTGAGAATTTTTTAATGGAATTGTGTACTTTATGCAAGAGTTCTGTTATGCTTTGTATGGTATATTTAGTTGTATTAAGGAAGGGATAAAGTAAAAAAGCCATTATGTCTAAGTTATCTACATGTGTTCCTAAAACACTTTGTTCCTCTGCACAAGTGTAGTGTAGACAAAAAAGTCAAAGTCATTGCTGTCCAGTCAGTTCCAGCTCTTAGCAATTCCATGTGTTCCAGAGAAGAACTGTATAACATTTTTTTTTGTCTGCAAGCTTCATGGAAACAGATCACCAGGACTTTCTTCTAAAGTACCTCTAAGCTGGCTTAAATTGTCAAACTTTTAGTTATTAGTTGGGTACAAACAATTTGTGCCATATTTATCGGTAGAATAGGGCTCATTGTGTGAACTGTAAAGTTCATTGAAAGAAGGTCCCATTCCTTGGATAACTATAGGGACTAAAAAATAGTGTTGAATAATTGAGTTAATGAGTAATCACACACTCATATGTATTAGATACATACAACACCGATTTCTAAAAATGAGAAATATTCTTATGGGTTGTTCAAAGAGTTTGACTGAAAGTATGGAAAAATGGTGTATATAACCCATCTATTCTTAATTCATAATAAAAAGCTTCATATTATCTTTCAGATATTGAAATGTCTACTTAATTTTACTGGTCTCTCAAATGTTCTTTTATACAGTTTAAATATTCCATCTTATCATCATTGACAATTCTTTTCAAACAATTGAAAGTACATTCTTATAACATGTATTCTCTGATTGGCAATATAACAAGGCTTCCTGCACATTGTAAATAATTTGTGCTAAAAGACTTTAATTTTTGGAGTTCAAGAAAGACAAGTGATACATTGTCTAGACACAAACTGTTGTGATGAGCACAGGCGTGGCATCATATAAAATGAACTTGGTCTTAAAATAGCAACATTCCACTGTTAGTCTTCATTTATTGAAAACAGCAATGTAACAGTTAAATAGTAGGGTCTCTTTACTATTTCTTTTCCCAGTGAAGAAAAACACTTTAATTTGTGACATATTTCAGATAATATGAACAACAAGGTTAGAAAAATAGCAAATGACCATTATTTCAAATATAATGAAGAAGTTAGGCTAACTTTAGAGCCTATAACTCCTTTTCTGGAAACACTAAGTTTTTCTGAGATACCCTTTTGCCAAATGCTGAAAGAAACTGGATATTTATTTTGACACAAATAAGTGTGCCTTTGGAGCATTAGGTTACTGCTCCATGAGGACTGCTGTGGATGAAGGAGAAGTATGAGTTTCCCTTAATCCGTAACAAGCACCATCATTCTCTGCAGCTTCTTACTTAGTGTGACCCCTGTGGACAATCAGATGTGAAATACCAGGATTAAAAAATATATGTGTACATAAAAATCAATATGAAATTTAACAAAAAAGTTTGTCTGCCAATCAAGTAATACTTGGCTTTTATAAAAGTCCATGAAATAGTATTTTTCCTTTGTGAAAGAAAACTATAGCTAGATTAAAATGAAATAAAGCAAAATAGTGCAGAACTCAAGTATTCAAAAAATATGATATACCCTTCTTCTCTTTTTTTTTTTTTTTTTGCTTTGCGCTTTCTCCCCCCTTCATTGCCTTTTGTAAAACTCATGGAGATAGAAGTCTTATCCATTATACTACATCATGAGATTGCCTTCATAGACTTGTGCACATATTTGAGGTGAGAATCCACTGGGGATGCTCCACCTAGACTTCTCTGAACTCAAGTTGAGTCCACACTCCCCACAGCCATTGGGATTTACTGCATAACATGAGCAGGAAATATCATTCTTGCTGTTGATATTTATTGAAAAGTATCATATTTGCACCATGTGTCTAGGCTAGTTCCAGCTGATGGGACTGAGGCCACATATGGATCATGAGTTGAATGTATAAAAATTTCAGTTTTGCCACTGTTGTCCTTTGGATGAATGGTATGCAGAGGAATAGAACGGGAGGAAAAGAAATTGATCAGCTCCTAAATTCTGGAGTTGGTTTGTAGAAACCATAAAAAATGGTGGTTTTGCTCAGAAGACATGGGCATAGCAAAGCTTGGAATGCTTAATGCTTAAATTTTTTCCTTAAATGATAAAAATGGAAGTAAACATTTATTACCATTTGGTCAAGTATAACATAACTTGCATTCATATTTCATTGTTAGTGATGGAGGTATGTGGAGATATACACAGACCTTGAGACAGCTGAGTGGTTTTTTGTGTTGTTGGTTTTTTAGTTTACTTTTTTTTAATATTGCATACAGGCTAGCAGTTCATTGAAGACAGAGGAGAGAAGCCTGAAGGTTAGATCTTAGAAGAAGGCAGTTCTTCATGCACAGCTTTTGTCAATCCTGATTTGATTGGAAAAGAAAAACAATGAAAGATTAAAATCAAAGGGAAAGGAAAGCCATCCCAGAAAGGTTAATATCACTGGTCAAGAAAACATCAGACTCTTGAGTTTACATTTCTTCACTCAAGTCCAAAAGTGCTGGTTTCTTCAACTGCTATTAATAGCTTCTCATATAACATGGAGTACGATGGATATGATGGGAGGTCCAATCGGTTAAAACATGTGTGTGCCCTAGATTAGAGAGAAAATATTAGTGAGGCATTTGTTTCAAAGGCATACTGTGTTTGGATGTATTTGTTACTCAATTTGAAGCTGTTAATCACAGGAAGACAGAATTATCATTCAGGTGCACCACACAACATTGCAAGCTAACAATCTCAGTCCTATGGATATGAATGGGCCAGATGGAGAAAGTGGAATAAATAGAAACTGGTGGTTTCAGTCTGTCAAACAAACCTCTTTACAAGTATTTAGCAAACAGCTAACCAACCAGTTGACATCCACCTCAATTTATGGCAATGTATGAACTTTGTGAAACGACGATAGTTATAGAAAGGTTTCAGGTCTTTCGTTCATAAAGTTGCCATGAGTGGTACTCCACTAGACAGCAATCAACAACAGCAACAATATGAGGATGACAAAGAAGAGCCAATGCCTTTGAGCTGTGGTGCTGGAGAAGAGTACTGACACAGACTTCAAAGAGAACAAACAGTCCTGGAGAAAGTGCTAGTAAGTGCTCCTTGGAGGCAAGGGTGGTAGTACTCCTTTCTCACATACTTTGGGCATGTTGTTAGGAAGGGCAAGTCCTTGGCGAAGGACGTCCTTTTTGGAAAGGTGGAAGGTCATTACAAGAAAGAAGATGCTCAACAAGATGAGTTGACAAAGTGACAGTCAGGTCAAGTGTGTTGGAGAAGGTGAGGTTGGCTCAGTGCAGGACATGGTTCAGAACCATTGTTCATAGGGTTGTTATGAGTTGTAATTGACTTAATAGCACATGATGACAACAACAACAACAACAACAACATATTTTTTAGAGTAGAACTGTGCCCCATAGGGTTTCCAATGGCTGATTATTAGGTCATCAGACTTTTTTGTTTTGAAGTGATTTGAACTTTAAACCTTTTGTTTAGCAGTTGAGTGTATTAACTACTTACATTATTTAAGGGCGGCAGATGAATATTATTAACAAATTAATTACAAAATTCTGCTTTATTTTAAAACTGAAATATTAACTTAAATGTAGTTGATGTAAGAGCATATATAATTAAAATATATGAGGCTCATGTTCCCAAGGTTGCTTGTGCAGGTCTAATTTCTGGGCTTTTCCTGACGTGCAAGCACAAGCCCTAAAATCTGAGATCCTGATCTTCAAGAGACTTCTGGTAGACTAGTGTTAAGGAGTTGTACTGCTGACCCCAAGGCAGGTGTTTGAGTTTACCAGTTGCTCCTTAAGAGAAAAATAGACAATCTCTTTCTGTGCAATTTATAGCATCTGAAAACCTCCTGCAGGGTCACTTCTAATTTAAGAGTAGTTATATTTGGAATTCTCCATTGCAAGTAGGTGTTCTGGAAGCACCATTCAACTCTTTTAAGCAAGAGGAAAGTGTATGCCCTAAATAATCTTCCCTGATGTACCCAAATGGAAATGCCAGGCAAATCCTCAGCTTTTCCCGTAGTCTCTGATTGTGCTTTGTGTTTCATCCTATAGGATTTTACTTTCCAGTGATTGCCTTTGACAGGCTGTGCCTTCCCTGTCAGGCTGCTAACACACTGATCAGGACAAAACAACATCACTCCTGTGGGGTTCAGTCATAAGGATGAGATGCCAGAGCCTGAAGAGTTTTCTCATAACACTTCAAATTGCCTGGTCATTTGGACTGGCTCACAATCTTTGTCATGTCACAGTTCTTTATCTTTATGGCATATTCTGTTAATGTCAAATCTTATAGCACAACAGTGATGGATAGATAGGTGCACCTGCAAATAGCATCAATATTGTTTACTTACTAGAAAGAATCTCTGGGTGATGCAAATGGTGAATGCAAAAATTAGAGATTAAAGTCCACCAGATGTGCTTCAGGAAAAAAAAAATGTCTGGCTTTTACTTCTGAAATATCAGCCATTGAAAATTCCATGGATTGGCTCTACACTGACACACATGGGTCAGCATGGGAGCCGACTTGGGAGCAATTGAAAAACAAAATGAAACAACAAAGACCCTAGAAGGGATAGCTTTTGAATGGTATTTTGAGAATCCAAGCAGCACAGAAAAGGACATGTTAAAATAATAAATATCACAAAATTAAATGCACATGTAAAATCAGGCAAAATCCAAACCTAAACTTTCTCTCTTCATTAGACTTCTACTTATGACATTAAGTTATTAATGACAAGATCTCCAGGGTGTTGGACATTGCTGTACTTGGTTTGAATGACATATAAATCATCATATTGGACTAGTACGTGGCCTAAGACAACATTCAAAGTGTGATGGGGGGGAAGAGAATTCTAAACACTGAGAAGGGGGACGGGGGAAGAGGTAGAGAAGTTGTTTATTCTATGTAGGAAAACTCAGCAGAAGAAATAAACGTTTTTTGCTTGCCTCAGCTCTATTTATTCCACTCTTAGATATGTTTACCTCATTGTCTTTGGGAAAATACCCCTATACTCTAGTTCCATCTCTAGCCTCAGAAGTGAGTGGGGGAAAATAGAGAGTTGGCTTCAGGCCTCAAGAACCTGACTGAGTAGAGATTAGTTGAATTATTATATAAATTGCAAACAGGCTTATGTTGACTTTAAAAAAGAAGGGAAATTTTTTACCTAGATATGTGTTTATTTGAGTGAAAATAGGAAGTCAGTGAATTGAGTAGAAAGATAATCACAGTAGTCCTGCTCTATCCTCAGAAAAACTGAATTGAGGACATACACAGGGTGATGGTTGACAGAGGTAAGTGGAACAGAAACACCTCATGTGCTTTTGGAGAAAGCCTAACTAGGCAGGATTGCAATGCGAGGAGGCAGGATTATAGTTAATATGGGAGAAAATTCAATATTTACAAAATTGTTGAAACTAAATTAACTATAAATTATAATTTCCGGGAATAAACAGAAAGCAATAGCATCTCTTTCTTTGATCACATATAATGTTCAATCATTGTTTTTGACATGATAAAAAACCAAGAGTCTTGGTTACTTCCATTAAATGAATTGTAGTTTGTATTCTGGAAATAATGAGTATAATTAAATCAGGAAAGTCAGGTTACAACTTGACTCAGAATTCTTTAGTGCAAGTTACCTTCCAGGTGGAGTCTAACACAGAGTGCATGTGATTAAGTATTTCCTGTGAACTGCAGCTTATCTGCAAAGCAGTGTTGGAGCTATTGAAAGCACAGAACTAGGGATTTCAAACCCACATTTTCATCTTATTTGCTAGTTTTGTGATCTCAGGAAAGCTGGTTAATTTTTCTGAGCCTCAATGTTCTCACTTATAAAATAGGGGTCATACACTCCCTATACACATCAGAAAACTGTTACTGGCATCTTTTGTTAGCAACACATATAACTGTCTTCTCTAAACTAGGAATCATCTTTCAAAGTTAGGATTCTTTTAACAGCGCAGTTTATGATTGCAACAATGATTTAAGAATGAATGTGTCACACTCTAAGTGACCTAAAACTCCTGGTACAAGATTAAAATCCCTGCTTTTCCAAAGAACTCTTAATAGGTTTCATAAGTATCAATATTTTTATATAGATCTTGGCTCTCATGTAGAGAATCTCTTCTGAATCCTAGTATCTGCATTTAAACCCTCTGTACGGGCTAAAAGGATCTTTGATTCATTGATTGTTGCGCTGCTAACCCAAAAGTGGTGGCTCTCTGTGGCTCAAATCCACCACACCAGCTTCTCAGTGGGAGAAGGATGTCCAATTTCCTCCCATGTGATTAGCTGCCTTGGAAAATCTGCTGGAGGGTCAGATATAGGCCAATTCCTACTCACAGGACACAGTAACATCAACAAGTATCTCCTTAGGAGTCATTATTTCACGGACTAGGAGTCTCTGGGTGAAGTAAGGAATGGAATGCTCAGTAACTATCTAAAGTTTGGTTCTTCCAGTCCACCTAGAGGTGATTAGAGAATTAGTTCTGGTGATTTGCTTCTGGAAAGCTATAGCCTTTTAAAACCTATGGCACATACCTAGGAGTCATCATTAATCAGAACCAACTTGATAGTAATTGACAATAATTTCACTGGTCAGGAAAATGGCATAGAAAGTTCCAGATAGAGTTGAGACTAAAAGTAATAGTATACTGATTTCATTCTGTTGAATTGTCTGAACGGTTATTACCTTCACCCCCATATTTATCTCGCAATAATTTCTTTCAATATAGAAGTCAATGTAAAGAAGCAGAGATATCCAAGAATTCTCTCACACACATTTTAAAAAACGGTAGGGCAATTACAACAGGCACACAAATAACTAGCCTCCTAAATTACAAAGTGATAAGTTGTGGGAGACATACAGATATGGTGGTGGAGAGGTTTGTTTGGTTTTCAGCATCTTTGAACTGTTAACTTTCCTCTGCCACCCCTGGTGAGACATATCTCTTTAAGTGAGGCTGTATGTATACAAAATTGTAAAGCTTTTCATGATTGATAACATATGCCAAAATACCTATAATGCAAATGTTGTCAAACACCAAAATATCACTAAGAATATTGTTCAATTTCAGTCCTCAGAGATATTTCACCTACAATTTTCATTAGTAACTCAAATAACAGTGTTTTGAGCCTCTTGTGTAGGCAAATAAGATTTCCAACCCCAAAGGATGAACCTCTATTAGTATCAAAAGTATAAATATGCATGGCAGGTGATTTTTCTCCCAAACAACAGTTAGGGGGTTTGAATTGTTGACCATTCTCAATTTGCAGCACAGACCTAAAACACATTATGCCACTCTACAGCTCCCACACAAACTCAAAAAGGAAATCCTGTTTAGTGGGTTTTATGGATGGAAGTAGGGCCACCATACCTGGGGAGAGATGTGATTTTCCCCCATTTTTCTATGCAAAACCGCCGAAGCCCATTGCTTCCTCGCAGAGCTGCAAAGCCTTCATAGGGCACACTCGAGGTTCCTGTGACAAACTGCAGCAGTCTTAATCGCTGTTCATTATTGAACCGCTCCACTGCAGCCCAGAACCAGCGGATCACAAGATGTCCATCATGATAACCTAAATGGAACAAAGGAAAAAATAGGAAAGGACAAAGGAGAGGAAGAGCGAAATGTGAAATATACATTAGGTATGAGAAGAATGGGACAGCAGCTTTTGATTTACCAATTTATATAATGGTATTCTTGGTACCAGACTGACTTTTAAATACAAAAACCCACCCACCAGATTCTGTTTGCCTACACAAGAGGCTTCCCATTAAAGTTGATTGTAAACAAAATCAGATACAGTTAATCAGCTTAAACTTGATTGCTAACACAATTAGAAACACCCAAATAGTTTGCCCACCTGTGGGTAAAACCTTAGCTTGTCAAAATTTGATCCTGGAGAGTGTTTGTGATTTACTTAAAAGCCAGGGGTAAACTGTTTGGGTGTTTCTAATTGTGCAATCATGTGTAAGCTGATTAATTGTATCTGACCTCATTTACAATCAGCTTGGGTGGGAAGCCTCTTGTGTAGGCAAATAAGATCTGGTGGGCAGGCTTTTGTACTTAAAAATTGGCTGGACCCGAGGGCCATAGACCCTTGGGCCTGCTATTGATTATAGGTGGATAGAATGTTGTTCTAAATGGTTCAGCACTTGTCTGTCAGTTTGATGTACTAAGATTACTTGGAGTTTCTGTGACACTGAAATCTTTCCCACTGGTGTGTCAAATTCCAAAAGGATTTCTTATTATGGACAAGTTTTGGTGGAGCTCTCTAACTAAGACTAGAAAGCAGGATGGGCCATCTATTTTCTAAATAAATAGACTATTAACGATTATAGCTTACTCAACCCTACAATCAACACTCTCGGCACCAGCACTTAGAAAAGCAAAAGACAAATTGCATTGGGAAAATTCGCTGTCAGGGACTTCTCCAGAGTACATAAATGCAATGATATCAGTCTAATTAACTAAGGTGTGCAGGCCATGGTCTTCACTCTGCTGACATGTGTTTTTGTCATAAGAACATTAGGTCTCACAGTACAAACTCTTGTTTATCGGCCTGGGAACACACCACATGCAGATATTGGTGCTTTCTCGACCTTCTCAGAGTAAAGGTAAACAATTGTATTACCAGGAGTTCAGGACAGCCTAGTTTTGTTAGAGGTTGTGTTGTAGGACAGCCTACAACAGCAGGTCAGACACTGAACTATTTTGAAGGCCTCTACACAGCACCTCTTGAAGAGGAAGAAGACTCGAGAGAGGTCAAAGGTATAACTGTGCAGGACAGGAATTTGTGTCAGAGCCAGTGGCTAAAGTGAATGAATGGCATCCTGCTGTACATAAGCTCATGCCATGCTAAGAGTATTATTATTGATTTTATTTTATTTTTATTATTTTGTGTGTGTGTACTGTCAAATCGGATCTAACTAGTATAGGAGGAGATTGTCCTTCCTTTCCAGCAGAGCATCTGGTGGATACGAACCTCTCACCTCTGGGATTGCAGTGCAGCTTCTTGCCACTAGGCCACCAGAGCTCACCAAGAGTACTGTTATTTTTTTAATAAAATGTTATACTTACAAAGTTCATATACATTGTTTTTCAACTGGATCTTTCACATTTCCCCTTCCCACCCCTTTCTCCACCCATCAAATTGTGTTACCCTATGATTAACCATCAGATAGATTACATATGTGGAAAAAAACCACTGGAGAAGCTCAATACCAGCTGTGAAAACTAGGCCAGGAGCTGATTGTGGAACAGACCACCAACTACTCATATGCAAGTTCAAGCTAAAGCTGAGGAAAATTAAACTGAATCCAAAGGAGCCAAAACATGACTTTAATTTCATACCACCTGAATTTCAGAATCATCTCAGGAACACGTTTGAGGCCTTGACCACTACTGAGCGAAGACCAGATGAGTTGTGGGAGGATGTTAAATGTATCATCCAGGAAGAGTGCAGGCGGTCATTACAAAGACAGAAGAGGAAGAAAAGACCAAAATGGATGTCAGAAGAAACTCTGAAGATTGCACTGGAACGTAGAGAAGCCAAAGCACAA